TCGACTTGATAAGTATCTAGGTCTAGTTGCCTCCTCATGAGTCCTCCTTCGAATAAGAAATTTTTTTAGAAACAAAAAAAACCTTTTTTATTTTTTATTTCTTATATTTGCTGTATCCGTTCTTCTATTTATTTATGCCTTTCCCCATTTACTGTTGCAAATTGTTACATTTATTAATAATGTTACCAGTGTAACTAGCATCCCCAGTCCCCGGGCAAGACGATATTTTGCCCCTCCAATTTTATCTGATTTTCCGGTTGCATCCTCCAAGAACAGACAAAAAGAAACCATGAAGGATCCGGGACCATTGGGCGCCAGCCTCGAACCCGAGAGCCACTTAAAAACTTCAAGACAACTGCGGTACTCGTCTATTAGTTTACTTAACGCTCATTATAACTTCGTGAATGTCACACATTCAGTTGCGGAATTCAGGTTATTAGTAACGGGACTGAAAGTTTTAGTTTTCACCTTTCTACTGGGATGGATCACACTTTGTTTAACTGCGCTCAATTCGAACCTGGCGCTGTTTCGCTTCTCCGGTGGCGCCTGGCTTCGCTACCCGGTTGCTGTCTTCTAATTGTTTTTTCATTGAGCAAAGAGTCTCGGATCGTATATTAAAACATGGATGCTTATAGTCCATCTCACCCAACAGATCAGGATATGGATGTTGACAGTGATTCCGCTCCAACACCTGAACAAGATGCACATTGCAATCAGTTGTCTGATAGTTTCACATCCAATGTGGTTCCTTTGCTATTTCAGACGGATATTCCTATTGCTACAGTTGATTCTTCTACCACTGCGAACGAGATTTTAGCCCAGATTCCCGCAACGGATACGCAGGAGATTCCAGACATCAAGGATGATTTGTCCAAGACGAATGGCACTTGTGATGGTCAGGAGACTGCGGAAAAATCTTCGACTGAGGTAAATGATAACAAGACTGCAAAGCCGTCATCTGGTGCCTCTACAGACCATTTGGACCGACATACTAGTGGTAAAGGAGTCGATTCGTCCAAACGAAGCAGTCAATCTGGTAGAAGACGCAGTCGTTCAAGATCCCATAAACGAAACCGCAGTCGCTCGGACGATCGCCGGCGTAAAAGGTCTCGATCCCATTCGAAAAGTCGACACTCACATACGCGTCGACATTCAAGGTCCCGGTCGCGAGAAAGACGTCGCC